CATTTCCAAACGACGAAAGACTTAATACGTTCAGCTTGAACTTACAACGTCACAGCAATTGTCTAAAATCTTACGTTTGAGCTTTGAAGTACTAGGTTTTCTATTTCTCATTCATAAAACGTGAAAGCATGCAGAATATTGAAAGCTGAAAAAATCAATTTTATTTGTTAAAAAATTGTGTAAGAAATATGTTTTCCAATAGGTTATTGTATCGCTAAAAGAATGGCTCCTTTTTTAACCAAAAAGAACATACAAATTACATTTCCCAGCACCATGATCGGGTATACTTATACGAGGGATGTCTTTTAAGTTTTGCATATAGAAACATAGTAGGCCGCGCGGATCGAACGTCAGTACTGAATCTCAAGCTCACTCTTTAGTAAACTTAAATTCGAAGTTTCACAACAATATGTGCAGTGTTCTCACTACAGTGAATTTTTAGGTGTCACCAAGTCATTAGAAAAATGGAACTCAATCGAGAACATTTTCGCGCCATAATTTATTACAACTTTCAGAGACAATTATCGCAACAAGAATGCCTTGCTGAGTTACTGTCTGTTTTCGGCAATGAAGCGCCACATCAGTCGACAATTTCCCGTTGGTATGGACAATGATCGCGACATTTGTGTCAAAAGCGGGTCATATTGCAACAATTCCTCTTAATGAGCAAAGAACTGGTACTGCGGATTGGTATACCATCATTTGTTTGCCAAAGTCATCACCTAGCTTCGAAAAGTCAACCCCGAAAGAAGAATCACCCTCCACCAAGACAATGCAAGCTCGCACACAGCCCAAAGAACAAGGCAGTATTTAACGGAAGAAAACGTGGAATTATTGGACCATCCTCCATATAGTCCAGATCTAAGTCCTAACGATTTCTTTACTTTACCAGAAGGAGCAGTTGACGCATTCGAAAATGCCGTTTTGGATCTGCAGCAAACGAGTGAGATAAGTGCTTCGAAAATTGGTTCAAGCGCATGCAGATGTATATTAATCTTCGTGGAGAATACTTCGAAAAACAATAAAGTCATTTAAAACTACGTACCGTGTTGTTTTATTTCCATATGCAAAACTTAAAAGACATCCCTCGTATTCAAGTTATTGCAAAGTAAAGTTATAAAAAGCACAAGGAATTCTAAATCAAAATATTTTGCTTATAGAGCAAATGTAGTTTTATGATAACAAAACATACGCATGTTATTGACATTTAGAAACAAAAAAAAATAAATTTAAATGCACATAGAAAATGAATGCGTTGCTAGATTAATCCATTTCTGGAATCACTGCTGTTAAATGAAGACACTCCATAGCCTACATGGGTAAAAATCAACTTTCCAGGTGCAGGGGGAAGTGGGTGACGATTTTACATATTCAAAAAGTATGGTAGCTGAATAAAAATTCAGATTACGGTCCAAAAGTTTTTCCGATACTTTTCAAGCAGATCCACTTCATGATTCATTAATAAGGTCAAATAACGCCTCAAAATATCGTAAAACGAAGGTTTTCACCCAAACAGTTAATAATTTAGTAGCAGTATGCATTTTGTATACCGCCGTCTATTCAATGAATAAAAATGTGCGTAATCTAGGAAATCGATAGTCAAGTGAAAGTAACGTGAATCAAGGTGCAGTTCAGTAGCCTTGCCTAATTTATATCATCGTAAAAATTAATGATCTGTTAATACGCCGGTAAATACCTGACGAGAAAGAAATATATTTGGTAGAATTTGTATGCGAACGGAATGTCCAGATCCCTCTGTCCTACTATGTTAATCAATAAATAACTTGGACACGAGAGGATTTTTCGATTATAGGGATTAATACTTTTAAAAATTTGGTTCATGTAAAAGAGGTGGAATACATACATACCTTGACGTGGGTATCCCTGGGCAGCTATCCCAGTTGCCCCTGAATGGACCCAGCTCAGCTTCCAGAATAATTTCCGTCAGTTTTTCAAAGCTTTCTACGTATTTTTAAGGGGAGGACAACAAAGCCAGCATATCTGATACTGAAATTTGTTTTTCTATAGCAAAAGCTCATTGCAGTTGTATATTCTAGAGATATCCGCTTCTTAAACACAATTACCATGCCCTTCATTTTTGCATAAAGGCTTCACTTTCAATGCGAATTATCTATACAGGGTGTTTCAGTTTATTGTTGCATAACTTTAAGATTCGTTAGAACTTTTAAAATGAATGCATAAAGTCTATATAAACATGGGTCGAAGAAGGCGTGGCTTCCGAAATACTGGGTGTTCAAATTTACTTTCAAAAATAGTTTTTTTTAAATATTTCGAACAATATTTGATGTATAACAGTGAAACAAGGGTTTTTTGGTACGACAAAACGAACCATGGTTTTAGTGTAGCCGCTAGAGGGCGCTCTCTACTGTACCTGTAGTGTATTAAAATGACCGAAAAATTTTTCTTAGTGCAATTTTTTGCTTTTTGAATGAAAAAAACTGATTCTTCGCACTTTTCAACATAAAAAAGCTCTCTTGTGAATTTTCGTTATAGTTAGCCGTTTTTTAGATATTTCGATTTTTAAGGTTCGGTGCATTTTTAATTATTTATGATAAAATAACGTTAAAAAGTCAGTATCTCGATAATTTTTAGAAGTAGGCTGTGCCTGCAAATATTTTTGAAATTGAAAGCAGAATAAGGTTAAACGTCAATTAGTTGACAGTTAGTTTTGTTGTCTGTTGAAACTTGAAACGTTTTTTTGCAATTGTGAATGCACGAAATTTAGTTTCTTTTACCTGTTTTTTTTTTTTGTAGCTTTTATAAAAATGCCATTTTTATTCTCCAATCAAGTTAGCGGATATTCATTTTGTGTATGGCTTTGTAAATGGAAACGCAGCAGAAGCAGCCAGAGAATACGCACGAAGATTTCCAAACAGACGACATCCAACTCGCTCAGTATTTGTAAGAGTGCATCGCCAAATAATTGAAAATGGTTTTGGAAATCTCGAAAGGGATCAAAACATAAATGTTCGTCAACGCAGATTTACCCGTATGATTCTGCGTGAGTTTGATAGAGATCCGAAGTGTTAGGAAAGTTTCTGGTGCCTTGGGAATTTCAGCAAGCCATGTTCACCGTGTTCTTAGAAATGACCATAGACGTCCTTACCATTTGCAACCTGTGCAAGGACTACAGCCAGGCGACGGAGAACGAAGAATCACATTTTGTCAGTGGATTCTTGATAGAACTGATAATAATAGGGAGATTTTAAGTAACGTTTTATGGACCGATGAGTCATGCTTCACTAGACGTGGAGTGGTAAATTTTCATAATCAACATATTTGGTCGCATGAAAGTCCGCATGCAGTTCGGGAAAGAAATTTTCAGCTTGAATTTAGTGTGAACGTGTGGATTGGTATCTACCGTAATCGGCTATTTGGACCCTTACCTTTTGCCTGGAAGGTTAAATGCTGCGACATTCTTGGAATTTTTAAAGGCTGAACATGCAAATATGTGGGATGATGTTATGTTAGATTTAAGAAGATTGGCCTGGTTCCAGCTTGATGGTTGTCCAGCTCATTATTCGAGAATAGTTAGAAACTGGCTGGACGAAAATTATCCAGAAAGATGGATCGGCCGTGGAGGACCAGTCGCCTGGCCTCCACGATCAGCTGACCTAAATCCATTAGATTTCTTTGTGTGGGGATTTCTAAAAGAAAAAGTGTACCAGACTCCCGTAACCACAAGAGATATGCTAATAGACAGAATCAGGAATGCATGTGATGAAATAAGGCCTTATTTGAATAATGCTATACCACGTTCGATCATTCGTAGATGTGAATTGTGTATTGAACAATTGGGTTTATATTTCGAGCAACTACTTTAGATTTTGTATGTTTGTCCTAACTATCCAATAGCATTTTAGTTGTAAATAATTAATTTAATTTGTTAAAAATAATATTGGAAAATTAAACAAATTAATATTGTTTTTTGTGTTTATTTGGAGTTAGGAATTATTGCTGTGTTTAAAAACACAATCTAAACGATCATCTTAATTACTTGTAATGCCCAAATCGAAAATGTAAAAAAAAATATTATTTTCCCATAAATAATTAAAAATGCATCGAACCTTAAAAATCGAAATATCTCAAAAACGGCTAACTATAACGAAAACTCACAGGAGAGCTTTTTTATGCAGAAAAGTGCGAAGAATCAGTTTGTTTGTTCAAAAAGCAAAAAATTGCACTTCGAAAAATTTTTCGGTCATTTTAATACAATACAGGTACAGTAGAGAGCGCCCTCTAGCGGATACAGTAAAACTATGCCCATGGTTCGTTTTATCGTACCAAAAAACCCTTGTATACCAATTTTCACTATTATGCATCAAATATTGTTCGAAATATTTAAAAAAATCTACTTTAGAAAGTTAATTTATACACCCTGTATTTCGGAAGCCACGCATTTTTCGGCCCAAGTTTATATAGACTTTATGCATTAATTTTAAAAGTTCTATCGAATCTTAAAGTTATGCAACAATAAACTGAAACACCCTGTATAAGTCATTACCCTCTGAAATTAAGTTTTTGATGAATTTAAAAACATATCAAGAATCTGCTTTACAGTGCAAAAGATAATAATTAACTTCTGCTAATAAAAACAGTATTTATTCAGAGTAATTACAATAAATATGTATAATACTATAAGTCTTATTGCAATTTATCTATTTTATTCACGTTTGTATTTGTTTCTTATGGGTTAACTACAGGAATAGCTTAATCTAAACTTCACCCAAATGGAAAGACGTTTATTATTATTATTGTATTGTTATTCAACGTTGATTCCTGAACAGCTACATTTTGCATAAACTCAATTTCATACCCGACCAATCACGGCAGATACCACTACAAAAGACCAAAAAAGTACACATTTTAAACAAAAACTAGACCTTGTGAACTTGTCGGGTTCCTTTCTAAGTTTATCCTTTGGCTGAATCGACGGCATAGCGTTTATGTAGCAAGTTAAGCAATCTTGTAAATACCAGATTGTGACCGAATATTGTTCTTTTGCAGAGGAAGGGGTTACAAAGACTTTCACCTGCGCGCGGACTCTGATAGGGCAGTACGTATTCGTGCAGCTAGGAGTAGAAGGAACGCTGTCGTTATGCGAAGTCGAGGTGTTCTCCTCGGATGGTAGGTAAACTACAAGTGTTCATGTTTTAAATCTTGTTTCGTTCAGAAAACGCATTCACCAATTTTATATACAGGGTGTCCCAAAAGTCAAAGTCGAGCCGAAACCGGGTGATAGGCAAAGTCATAACAGCTATCAGAAAAATATTTAAAAAAAATTTAAGTATGTGTTTTGAAAATTATAGGTCTTTGAAAAAAATATAGAAATTTCACACCCTACGGCAGTCTGTCAACTCCTGTTACTACAAATATTAACTTTTTTTGGATTTTATTTTTACAATGTAATGATGAATAATGCATCTTCAAGCTGGTGTCTCAACCTTACTGCCAACTTTTCTCGTTCAGGAAAAATTGCCACTTATTTCCCAACCAAGTATTCCAAAGTAAAACTTTGCTCAACTTTAACTGGCTGTACTGGAAAAAAATGTACTACGAGAGTTTGGCAAGTAACCTTAAAAGTTGGCGCCTTTAATAACGATTCCAAAATGGTATAACACTTAGAAGATTACTTGTTAACTTATGCACAATTTTTATTTGAAAACAAAACTGATGAAAATTTTTCAAAATTTCCTAATTAAACAGCGATTATGAAAACGCACAAGGACCCTTAAGGATAACTGTTTGCACAACAGTGGGCGTCAAAATGCTGCTGATGATTTACCTTTACAGCAAATGCTCAAACTGTTTTCCTTCAGCCGCAATACACGCTCGACATCTTCTTAAAAAAGATCGGGTTATTAAACGAGCGAATCGACGGTTATTAACAAACTCAGCTGCTTCCAATAGTCTTTGCCGTAGCTCAGCTACATTTTGAATCGGCTTGAAATACACTTTTTTTACAGTTCCCCAGTAAAAAGATCTAAAGGATTCAAATCAGGTGATCGGGCTGGCCACGGTATTGTACCAGACCGCCCTATCCATCTGCCTGAAAAGTTTTGATCGAGATACTCTCTCACTGAGAGTGCATAGTGCGCTGGGCAGCTATGTCCCTGTAAATACTCAGTGGCACGTCCACCAATAAATTTTGTACATGATTTTTCAAAAAATCCAAATAAACTTTAGCAGTCAAAGTCTCTCAAACTCAAACGGACCGATTATTTTACCATTTAAAATTCCTGTCCAATGGTTTATATTGAAGCGATATTGAGATTTATCTTCTCTCATCAAATGTGGGTTTGCTACGTGCCACTTATGTAAGTTATGCAGGTTCATGTACCCATCTTTCTTAAATGTGGTCTCATCCGACCACCAAATTTTTTCAAAGAACTGTGGATCTTTCCTGTGTCTTTCTAACATTGTGCGACAAAAAGCAACTCGGGGCTCATAATCCCGGGGCAGGAGAGGTTGATCACGAGGTATGTGGTATGGATGAAGCACATCACTTACTTGCTATTGCACACTTTGATACCGATCAGTACTCCTTCGTTTACTGCGCATCTTTACATGATCGTGCTTGTTGATTTCGTACTGTTACTAATTTTGGATTCGTGAACTGGACTGTTGATCGCTTGTGATTTGGATTTGGACTGTTAAATTGCTCTTCAAAACAACATTTGCTTTCCTTAGACTATCTTTGATAGTGTGATTGTGCAGTGCCGCTATGTCCGTGTACACCGTACAAGAATATGCTAACATGCACCTCATTTATGGGGAATGCAGATGCAACGCTAGTGCTGCAGCGAGACTTTACTGTGAGAGGTACCCGAATGCAGCTCGTCATCCAGATCATCGAGTGTTCACAAATGTGCACCGCTTACTGTTCTCAGAGGGCCAACTACCAAACCAATCACACGGTGAGGGAAGATCTTTCCTTCCTTACGAAGACGTGATGCTAGGAGCTGTCGAAGAAGACCCCAGTACTTCAGTGCGTGCAATAGAACTAAAAACAGGTGTGCCCAAAAGTACAGCCCATAGAATCTTGCAAAAAAACATGCTCAATCCATACCACGTACAGCGTGTTCAAGCTCTTCTGCCCCGGGATTATGAGCCCCGAGTTGCTTTTTGTCGCACAATGTTAGAAAGACACAGGGAAGATCCACGGTTCTTTGAAAAAATTTTATGGTCAGATGAGACCACATTTAAGAAAGATGGTACATGAACCTGCATAACTTACACGAGTGGCACGTAGCAAACCCACATTTGATGAGAGAAGATAAATCTCAATATCGCTTCAAGATAAACCATTGGGCAGGAATTTTAAATGGTAAAATAATCGGTCCGTTTGAGTTCCCAGAGACTTTGACTGCTGAGGTTTATTTAGGTTTTTTGCAAAATCATTTAGAAAATTTATTGTAGGACGTGGCACTGAGTATTTACAGGGACATGTGGTTTCAGCATGATGGCTGCTTTCCAGGCAGATGGATAGGGCGGTCTGGTACAATACCGTGGCCAGCCCGGTCACCAGATTTGAATCCGTTAGATTTTTTTTACTGGGGAACTGTAAAAGAAAAAGTGTATTTCAAGCCGATTCAAAATATAGCTGAGCTACGGCAAAGACTATTGGAAGCAGCTGAGTTTGTTAATAACCGTGGATTCGATCTTTTTTAAGAAGATGTCGAGCGTGTATTGCGGCTGAAGGAAAACAGTTTGAGCATTTGCTGTAAAGGTAAATCATCATCAGCCGCATTTTGACGCCCACTGTTGTGCAAACAGTTATCCTTAAGGGCCCTTGTGCGTTTTAATAATCGCTGTTTAATTATGAAATTTTGAAAAAAGTTTTCATCAGTTTTTGTTCAAATAAAAATTGTGCATAAGTTAACGAGTAATCTGCTAAGTGTTATTAAATGCGCCAACTTTTAAGGTTACTTGCCAAACTCTCGTAGTACATTTTTTTCCAGTACAGCCAGTTAAAGTTGAGCAAAGTTTTACTTTGGAATACTTGGTTGGGAAATAAGTGGCAATTTTTCCTGAACGAGAAAAGTTGGCAGTGAGGTTGAGACACTAGTTTGAAGATGCATTATTCATCATTACATTGTAAAAATAAAATCCAAAAAAAGTTAATATTTGTAGTAACAGGAGTTGACAGACTGCCGTAGGGTGTGAAATTTCTATATTTTTTTCAAAGACCTATAATTTTCAAAACACATACATAAAATTTTTTTAAATATTTTTCTGGTAGCTGTTATGACTTTGCCTATCACCCGGTTTCGGCTTGACGTCGACTTCTGGGACACCCTGTATATGTTAAAAGATGGCGTCAACGGCGGCAAGGATTATGTTCAACACAAGTTAGACCCTCTAGAAAAAATTTAGTTACGTGCATTTATAACAGAGATAGAGAGAAAACGGATCAAGTCAGCCTAACAGTCCATGCAATCAATCCATAGACAATATTTCCCTGCCAGTGAAGGTCAGATCTTTGGTAATTTTCAACAAGGATTTCAATAGACGAAAACGAGAACGTTTTAGAATGTGCAATTTTCGATTACCGCTGACTTAAAAAAAGTTGACGTTGAAATGAATTTGAAGGTGAGGTTACAGGTTGAATCTAACATCACCACTGAAGTCCTTGTTAAAAGTTAGTAAAGACCTGTCAATAATTTTTTCATCAATAATCCTGCTAAACCTGTAGCAAGTTTCCCCAATCCCACACATTTGACCTCCAATTGACTTTTAAAGGTGATACGTAAGAATATTTGAAAAGTTTCATTAAAACAGTTTGCCTTTAAGTTCTCAGAATTTCTGAGGTTCTTAATAATTTGACTTCCAAACTGATAATTCTCTTTTGATACTAAACGTGATAGTGTAATCTCCCAATTGCTATTCAGCTAGGAGAAGACTTACAGGTCTTACGAATATATTGTTTTAAATCATACGTTTTACTTTGAAAGCCAAAACTAGCGTGGTAGTATTATGGAGGCAAACATTTTCAAAAATGAGATGTTATGTTTTTGGATGGTATATGACATAGTACATCATGAATATTCATGTCACTCATTTCCGTCAGTCTGCCTGTCGGTCTGTTCGCTAATCTTATAGCCGCCTATTAACTTGAAAAGAACCGCTCCGATTTCGATGAAATTTTTTCACAATGTTCCTACTATCACAAGGACCCAAATACTTTGTAGTTTTTGTAAATCGGTCCAGTGGCAACAGAGAAAAAGGCCTAAAACTAACAATGTAAAAATCGCTCAAACTTCGTTTTCTGAGATTGTAGATGATCTTTTTTGGAAAAAAATTATGATAGGATATGGAATCAGCGTTTCCTATGCTCTGACCGCACAACCACGATGCCACGTCTGCCCGAGGTATCGAGTAGGAACACAATGTCTATGGTCCAATTGTATGGACCTGTTTGGCTGACTTTTTTCTTAGACGGTCTAGTTTATGCTGAACATATTCCTTTATGAACTGATGACAGCTTTAAGTGGCAAGTTCAGAGTCAACCTACTCGACGCCATTTTTTACAGTAATCTCTGACCATTACAATTTCCAGAACTACCCGTCCACACTTGCCAGTCCTCGAAAAACCTAGAAAACGCCGCTTTGGCGACCTTCGAGAAGAAATGCTATTTCTTCGAAGTGAACAAGGGCAGTACTTTCAAAACCGCCCGATCGACATGCCAGTCGATCAACTCGGACCTTATTCACAACCTGTCAACGCTAGATATGTCCTTTCTGAGGGCTCAGCTGGACAGGTGGAAACCCAAATTGAAGACACAGCTCGTGTGGTTAGGAGCCAACAAGGACCCCGGGGTCATCGCTAGGACGTGGAAATGGGGTGAACGGGAAGTAAAAGAGAGAACACGGGAAAGGGAAAGAACACAGGAGGAGGAAGGAGAGTGAGAGGCAGGAGAGCGAGAGCGAGGGAGCGAGCGAGCGAGCGAGAGCGAGCGAGCGAGCGAGCGAGCGAGCG